CACGATGCCTTCTGCAGCTGGAAAGGGGTCTCGGTCAAGGTGAGAGCGCGTCTGGTGCAGGCTCCCGGCCTAGTGGGAAACAGATACCCAAAGTGAAACCAGCCTGTGATACCCCCACTCCAGTTCTCCGGGTACACAGTGCAGAAAGCCAGAGCAACAACAAAGAGACAAATAAGTTTGGAGCTTGGGGTCGGTGCCCATTGCAATGTCAGATCCCCTGTTTTCAAATCTCAAGTAAGAGAGATGGACAGGGGTGCATAATAAAAGTGAGCTGAATAATGTTAGCCTCTGTGTGTGTGTGTGTGTGTGTGTGTGTGTGTGTGTGTGTAGGGAGGGAAAGATGACTGTATATGGGAGCTGTATGTAAGGGCTGTGTATCTGTATGCGTAGGCTGCATGCGGAGCTGTGTGTGTAGGAGTTGTGTCAAGGACACTGAGAAGGGATGTATATGTAAGCTTTGTTCAGTGGAGGGAAAAGCAGGTGCAATCTCTGATTTTCGGTCTTAATGGGCAAAGGTTGCCACTTACTAACAGAGATGGATGGACAATGGAGGATAGACAGTAAGACAGAAAACTACTTTAGAAATGCTCTTCCTCCTTCATTTATGATATTATACCTGCAGCCAACTCCGTGAACTCACAGCTTCCTATCATCCATATTCTCTCTGAAGATAGGTGCCTAGGGGTACAAGCATCAGTCTTAACATCCACCCACCAGCAGGTAGTTACTGAACACCAGCTACCTGTCACATACTTCCGGGGTTGTTTGTAATGAGGAGTCAAAGGAAAAAGGTTGGGGAGGCAGCTGGAAATATGGTTCAGCAATTAAGATGCACTTGCTGCTCTTGCAGAATTTCTGGGTTCTGTTCTCAGTCCTCCCATGGTGACTCTTAACAGTCTGTAATGCCAGTTCCAGGGAATCTCAGGTACTCAGCAGGTACACAGACGTAGGTGCAGGCAAATGCTCATATACATAAAATAAAAAATAAATAAGTCTTAAAAAAAAAAAGATCCAGCCCCTTATAGGGTTCGTATGAAATGTGTGTTTGGGGGAATCTAAGCTGCAAACAATAAACCCCTACCTCAGCAAGAAGTGTGCTGGAGGTGATGAATAATGGGGGGGGGGGGAAAGGGCAGATGTGGGCCCAGAGGTCAGAGGTCAGAGGGAAGGGCAAGGTGAAGAACAGAGTGTGATCATGTGTGCAGGTTTGTGAGGATGTCACAGCAAAGTACACTGTTTGGGTGGCTTAAGTGACAGAATTGTTTCTCCCTGCAATTCTGGAGGCTAGAAGCCACAGGTTGTGCTGCCTAGCATTATGTCAACTTGACACATAAAATCATCTGAGAGGAGGGAGCCCAATTAAGAAAATGCCTCCGTAAGATCAGGTCATAGGCAAGTCTATAAGGCATCTTCTTAATTAGGATTGACAGGAAAGGGCCCAGTCCATGGTGGATGGTGCCATCCCTGGGATGGTGGTCTTAGGTTCTGTAAGAAAGCAGGCAGAGCCAGCCATGGGGAACAAGCCAGTAAGCAGCACCCTTCCATGGCCTTTGCATCAGCTCCTGCTTCCAGGTCTCTGCCCTGTTTTGAATTCCTGTCCTGACTTCCTTCAATGATGAACAGTGTTATGGAAGTGTAAGACAAATAAACCCTTTCCTCCCCAAGTTGCTTTTTGGTCATGGTGTTTTGTTGAAAAATGGAAATCCTAAGACGGGTCAAGATAGTGGCAGGCCTGTTTTTTTCTGAGACCTCCCTCCCGAGCTTGTAGACATTGATCTTGGTTCTGTCACCATCACGTTCTTCTGGGGCCAGCTGTTGATTTAAGGCCTAGCTAAACTTAATCACCTCTTTAAACTTTGTCTTAAAGCACAGTCTCATTCTGAGGCACTGATAAGGTGGTTAGAGACTTCAACACCTCACTCTAGGAGGGACACATTTCCTCCTATAACATCAAGGTCAGCCTTCCTAAGGATATAAGGACTAAGAGGGGTAAGGGAAAATCCTGAACAACTCAGGAACATGGCTACTTGGCTTCCAGAACAGCAAAGAGGCCCTTGTGGCCCATAGTGGACCACGAACTAGGAAGGAATGCAGGAAGCCATCACAGAGGTAGGGGGATGAAGAGATGGCTTCAGTTGAGACCTGTGGAACATCCAGGACTTCCGGGTTTACTTTGAGTGCAATGACAGGAATTCTCCAGTCCTGATGCTGATGAGAGACTGTAGGAGGGCAGTGTTAGAGACAGACCTGTTAAGAGAAGTCATTGCCAGTGCTATTGGTTGCCTCCTAGAACTTGATGGTAAGACCCATTACTGAAGACACCATATATTTGAGTCATAGGACATAGGTATCAAGCTGGTACTGATCTAGAAGCTTCATCTCTACTGGCTAGATCTGTCATAGTGCTGGCCAGTGCATTGTGCGTGTGCTGATAGACTCTTTGTTAACTTGACACAAGTAGGGTCATCTGGGGAAGGGGAATCTTAATAATAATATGATTGGCCTGTAGGCAAGCCTGTGGGGCATTCTTGATTGATATGAGATTGTGGGTGGTGCTAGCCCTGAGTGGGTGTTCCTTGGGTATATAAGAAAGTAGGCTGAACAAACCATGAAGAGCAAGCTAGTCAGCAGCACTCCTCCCTCCATGGTCTCTGCATCGGTTCCTGCCTCCAGGTTCCTGCCTCCAATTTTTGCCCTAACTTTCTTTGATGATTGACTGTAATGCAGAAGTATAGGATGGAATAAGCTCGTTCTTTCCAAAGCTGCTGCAAAAGGTCATGGTGTTTTAGCACAGCAATAAAAACCCTGAGGCAGAAATTGGTAGCAGATACAAATATGCTGTGACAGGCCTGACCATGTGTTTTGGGGAGGATTGTGGTACCACTGAAACTTTGGATAGTGCTCAGAACTCACTGGGCTATTCTGTAGGAGTTTGCAAAGTTATGTTGAAAGCAATGCAAACGATGGAGGCCTGGCTTGTGCAATTCCAGGGGGAAGTTTTAAAAGTCCTTTAAGGACTCTAGCAAAGCCATTTGTGTGGTATTTTGAATTGAGAGCTACTAGAGAAAAATTTTTGCTTTGCTGGGACAATCAATGCTGGTCATAAGGAGCAGAGAGATTAGTGATGATTAAAAAGAGACCAGCAAGCTGGGCAGAGTGTCACATGCTCTGTGAGTTTGAAGCTTTGCAGAGCATGTTCCAGGGCAGCCAAGGCTAGACAAAGAGACCCTGTCTCAAAAAACGAGAGACACAGACAGACAGACAGACAGACACACACACACACACAGAGAGAGAGAGAGAGAGAGAGAGAGAGAGAGAGAGAGAGAGAGAGAGAGAGAGAGAGAGAGAGAGAGAGAGAGAGAGAGAGAGAGAGAGAGAGAGAGAGAGAGAGAGAGAGAGAGAGAGAGAGAGAGAGAGAGAGAGAGAGAGAGAGAGAGAGAGAGAGAGAGAGAGAGAGAGAGAGAGAGAGAGAGAGAGAGAGAGAGAGAGAGAGAGAGAGAGAGAGAGAGAGAGAGAGAGAGAGAGAGAGAGAGAGAGCAGCAACAGTGAGATGAAATCTTCCGTGAGTATTTCCTCAGGGTCAGCACACAGAGATGGTGGTCCAGAGTTGGATGAGGCTGCATCTCATGCTGGAAGTCAGCTTTGGTAATGTATTAGGGTTATCTAGGTGGTACTGGTTTTGAAGGCATAAGGCATTGAGAGAAGCTGAAGCTTGATGCTGTGTAGCAGGGCTGGAGTCTCCAAAGAAAGGCCCGGAGAAGCTATTGGTGAAGGTGCAGCCCATTCATATCAGGACAACTCAGCATTTTGGAGATGCAGATACGATGATGGGATGGCCACCAAGGAGAGCAGCAGCTGTGGTGTGGAGCCAACCTGAGCCTGTGAAATAAGCTTTGTGTGCTGTGGCTAGGAGAGCAGGAGAAGTGCCGCTGCCAAGCCCAAGCTCATGAGCTCCAGATAGATGCCTGACACTGAGCTTTCTTTACAAAGCTGGACTTTGCTTTTGCTCTGATCTGATTGGAGCTATGCCTAGTCCTTCCCTCTTGTAATAAGAAGTCTTGAACTTGTTTTTGGTTTTATGGGAGCTTCCAGTTAAGAGACTTTGAACTTTTACAGAGATTTTGGATATTTAGAGAAACTTTGGGTATTTCAGAGAGAGTTGGGATATTTCAGGGAGAGTTTCTATGTTTCAGAGAGACCGGATATTTTAAGGAAACTGAACTCTTAAAGTGTTGAGTTTCTACAGACTGTGGAACTTTTAGAAGAAGCAATGTTTTGCATTGTGAAATGTATATTAGCATGATATCCAGAGAACAAGAAAGAGAATGTGTGGTGTAATTGGTGTGTTTGTGTGTGAAGTTGACAAGGGGCCAATTGTACTGGTTAATTTTATGTCAACTTGACCCAAGGTGGGTCATCTGGGAAGAAGGAATCTTAATCAAGAAATATGTCCGTAAGACTGGCCTATAGGGTATTTTTATGATTGATGTGGAAGGGCCTAGCCCACTGTAGGTGGTGCCACCCCTGGGCATGTGGTCCTAGGATGGATAAGAGGGTAGGCTGAGAAAACCACAAGGAGCAAGCCAGTTAACAGCACTCCTCACTGGCCTCTTCATCAGCTCTTGTGTTCGGTTTCTACCTCAGTTCATGCCCTAATTTCCTTTGATGAGGGACTGTAAGATGAAAATAAACCCTTTCCTCCCCAAGTTCTTGGTCATGCTGTTTTGATAGAACAATAGAAACCCTAAGATAGCACGTTACCAGGAGAAAAGTAATTCTCAGTTTCAGCCAGCTGTGAACCCTACAGGCTACAATAACAGTTGGCCTGGCAAGACATGCCCATGTACAAGTAGTGGCATGAACATCACGGGCATAGTCAACCACTCTCTGATTGAATTTAAGTCCCACTCCATACCATACCTGGCACCATTGTCAGGCCAAGAGCCTCTGGGAGAACCTACTTCTGTTATTCTGCTACATGGACATAGTATTAAACTGTTTCCTAATGACTTTGTCTTCTACCCATAGATTAATACATCTTTCAACACTAATCAGAGAAGCTTCTATTTTCAGTAGATAGTGATTAACACAGAGACCAGCAAGTGGCCAAGGAACAGAGAAAAAAGACTGTGGAATGCTCAGCCCTAGCCAGGACATCTATATTGCATCCTCCTCCTACCAAAGCTCAGGGATCATTTCAGAAGAGGGAGCAGAAAGACTGTAAAAGCCATAGCTGGAGGATGAATACCAGGAAATGGTGTCTCTCAAACACAGCAAGACAGCTACATACACAAAGTTAGAGCAATTGTGAGTACATGCACAAGCCCTATCAAGCTCAGGCTAGACTAAATCCCAGCAGAGAGGGAAGATGGGACTTTCATACCCATCCCTAACCACAAAGCTATTGTGATTAACACAGTTGTTGGGAGAAGGTGAGTTGGTTTCCTATGAGGGTTTTACCCCTGGTAACTCAGCCACACTCCAGCGGAAAGCCACACATCCAAGAATATATGGGAAGCACAGATTGGACTTGCTAGGTAAACAAACAAACAAACAAACAAAAAGAACACAAAGTTAGCTGGGCCTGGGACAATATGATCAAAATGCACTGAAATTCCCAAAGACTTAATAAAATAGATACAATATTAAAAATAAGCTTACCATTTGAATCTATAATAACAATTAATAAAAGAAGTTAAAATAACAAGTTGAACCAGTTGTTGATTCACACACACACACACACACACACACACACACACACACACACACACACGCACACACACACACACACACACAAAGTCCAATATCAGCTTGTCCTCATGGATTTGGCTCCAAGATTACAATAGCCTTGGACTTCTTAGGGGAACTTCATTCCTGAAGAAGGTGTTCCTGGGTGCTGGAATGTTACTGAGGGAGAAGTCCTGCATATTTCCTGAAGGAAGCAGTGGAGGACAAAGCAGGGAATGAGACTCTCCTTCCTTGTCCCCCTGAGTCTGTACTTGGTGTCTCCAAGTCTGAACTACATCCCTTACTGAAGCCCACTCACCTCCCACCACCACAACCGATGTGTTCTCGAAGGTCTAGCTCCTGTGTAACTTCTGCTTCTGGGCCTGTCCATCACCCAGACTCCCATTATCCTCCCTCCCCGAAGCAGAAGAACTGGTCCACACACCTTGTCTCCAGCCTCACATCTTTCCTTTCATGTGTTCATGACCTTTTTCCTCCTGGTAAACTAGAGGACGTGTTAATTGTCCAGATGGCAAAATGCCTGGCAGAGGGGCTGGAGTGATGGCTCAGAGGTTAACAGCTGGTGAGCTGTTTTTCCAGAGATCCTGAGTTCAATTCCCAGCAACCACATGGTGGCTCACAACCATCCGTTATGAGATCTGGTGCCCTCTTCTGGTGTGTAGATATACATGGAAGCAGAATGTTGTATACATAATAAATAAATGAAATCTTTTTAAAAAATGTGAAAAAATGCCTGGCAGAATCAATTAAGGGAGGAAGAATTGTATTTGGCTCCCCATTCAGGGGGATTTGGGTCATTATGGTGGGAAAGGCATGGTTTACAATCCATGGTGGCTGGGCCACATGGAGGACCTCCACCAGAAAAAATAGCAGCCCTAGAAATAGGACTAGGCAGTAATGCTCAAGCCCTCCCCCCTCCACTGAGACCCATGTCCTCCAGCCCAGCTGCACCTCTTAAAAGGTCCACAGCTTTCCAAGACAGTGCTACCATCTAGGTACCAGGTGAATACACATGAGCTTGTGAGGACACTTCAGATTCAAACTGTAACAGCATGAGAGGAAGGGAACTAATATTTACTGACAACCTCAAATGCTAATGTACTAGTTTCCTAGATTGCTACAAAAAAATCTCCTCAAACTTAGCAACTTGTGGCAATGTGAGTTTTCTCTCATAGTTTTGAAAGTCAAAGGTCTAAAGTGGGTTGGCATGTTTTTGGCCCTCTTTGAGCTCTAGGGCACAATTTGCTCCCCCATCTTTTCCAGGTTCTAGAAGTTTCCCATAAGCCTTGACCTATGGCCTGTTGTCCCTCTGACATTTGGTTTTCTGGTTACATCAGATCTTCTGAATCTGGCACTGTGTCCTGTTACCATCACTCTCATGGTTGCCCTGGGCCCACCTGGCGATCCATGCATGATCACATTAGCAAAGTCCCTTTGCCATCTCTGGTAGCTGTCACAAGTTCAGAGAATAAGGCTGTGGATAACTGAAGGCTACCCACTGGTGCTTCCTAAAAAATGTGTTTAGTCTTTTGAAGATCCTCTGAGGTAGACTTGTGAGTTGTATTGTGAATGAAGAGACTAGGTGGGTCTAGTGAAGGATCCAGGATGGGAGCCACGTGTGGCCATCCACTCTTCTGCCTTTCTGAAACCCTATCTGAATTTTTGCATGTCCACACAGGCAATCTTCGAATTGTGAGTCAAGTTAGAATTTTTCCACTTTATGATAGTTTAAGAGCAGTGCATATTCAGTGGAATGAGGCGTTTGATCTTTCCTTGGACTAGCCATGTGCGGTGAGTCTCCCTTTTGATGCCAGGCCACACAGCAAGCCATGGCTTCCAGATGACTTGCTATGGGAGGAAGAAGTCAGTTCTTGACTTTCTACCATGTCACTGAACTAGGCTGCTCCATTGGTCACTAGTGTTAGGAGTACTTTCACTTTAGGATGTTGCTAACTACCAGTGGGCTATTAGGACATAGCTTCATCATGAACAGATGGGTATCTCTGTCAGCAGTCTACAGCTGCTGGGGAGCTTACCAAAGATGAATGTCCTGTCTTAGAACTAAAGTCAAGATGTCTAAAACCAAAGTGGTACAGCAGTGGCTCCTTTTTGGGGAGGCAGGATTTTACCTATATGTTTTATAGATGCCATTTTCCTATTCAGATGGAGTTTTCTAGGTGTGTTTTGGTGTCTGTACCCAAACATACACATGCATGATTGTGCACACATGCGTGTACACACACACACACACACACACACACACACTTTTTTCCCCACTGTGTATTCCTAGCTGTTCTGGAACCCACAATGTAGACCAGGCTGGCCTTGAACTCACAGAGATTGTCTACCTTCTGAGTGCTGGAATTAGAGGCATAGACCACCACCCCCAAACCACTGTCCTTGGATATATATCCGCCATTGAATTGGTACAGGCTTATCTCCTGCCTCAGCTTCCTCCTTGGTTTCATGGTGATGTGTGTCATTATAACCTGCTCCAATTCATTCCCTTCCATCATTACCTTTCTCTGCCATTGCTCATCACTTCTGGAAAAAGCACCCATACACAAACCCAAAAGTGTTTTTGCCAGCTACTGAAGCATCCATAGCCTGGTAAAGTTGACACTTAAATGTGAACTGTTCCACTAAATGTGAGACTGCACACATAGCTGGTGCTTTAGGAGGGTGAAGGTTGCTGAGTCATCTTTCTTTCACTTCCCAGTTCATTGCTTCTCTGTCTCATTTCTTTTCTAGGAGAGGAGTTCATTACTTCGTAAATGGTATGACTTAATGATGGAAAATAAGGACGACCTTGCCAAGATCATAACTGCTGAGAGTGTGAGTTCACTAGCTTGCTGCCATGAGGAAGAGTCTTGGAGTGGTCAGACCAGAGCTTGGGAGAACACCTGGCTTCCCCTAACTATTGTTCTGCAGCTTAACATACAATCCTTTGATGACAAAGGGACTGAGTCATCACAGTGCTCAGAAGCACATTTGCTAAAACAAAGTTTATGTGCTCTAATATATTTGTTGCTAATTTGCAAAAAAGTAGATTGGGGAGGGGGCTGAGGAAATGGCTCAGCAATTGAGAGCGTGAGCTACTCTTGCAGAACGCCCAAATTCAGTTCCCCAAACTCACATCAGGCAGACCACAACTGCCTATAATTCCAGCTCCAGGGATTCAATGCCTCTGATCTCTGTGGACACCTGTACTCATGTGCACATACAGCCCCAAAGATACACACAACTAAAAATAACAAAAATCAATATTTAGGAAGTAGGTTTGTTTGGAGCTATATAAACAATGATTTTTAAGTATTCCAGTTTCTTATTTATTTTCTATGATTTATGCTATTATTTATTTATGTATATGTATGTACATGACCTTTTCTGGTTTGATTTAGGGAAAGCCACTGAAAGAGGCCCAGGGAGAAGTTCTGTATTCAGCCCTTTTCCTAGAATGGTTCTCAGAGGAAGCTCGTCGTATTTATGGAGACATCATCTATACCTCTGCCAAGGATAAACGGGGGCTGGTCCTCAAGCAGCCCATTGGTGTGGCCGCAATCATCACACCGGTATGTAGCAAGACCAGCACAATCCAGGGTGGGAGCCTGGGTAGGGCACTGGGAAATTGCATCTCCTTCCCAGTGAACAGGTGTGGCCATCTTGCTAGCTTTGTCACCTGTCTTTGGTTTCCTGATTCCTTCCCTGGATGTAGAGGTATGTTTCCACATTCTCTGTGACAGTGTCAGACGTAGTAGCATAAATGGGAGTACACTTTCTGATGCCTTCAAAAACAGGGTGACCTGCAGATGCTTTTCTGACTTGGCACAGAGACTCTATCCTAGTATTACCAGGCTCCTCTGAAAAGACCTTTGAGATTTTGTCATTTTTAATGGACTTCAAAGGGGACATTTTCTCTTTTTTATTTATACCATCATTAAAGAAATAGGTTTGCTTTGTGATTATCATCAATAGCAAAATATTTGTTCTTCCATGGGCAGGCACAGGGCTGGGAAGGCCAGGGGCTATGAATTACGATGCTGCCTCTGCCCTGATGGGTTTGCAGTACACTGCTGGCACCAGATTCCTCTCACCAGCCCTTCCTGGAGGGGCCTGGTGCCAACGTCTCTCCAGGGTTTGCCGGCTGGTTTCAAGGCTGCTAGCCTCCCCTGTTCAGAACAGTTTTAAATAGAGTTCTCCTTGCTACCTGGACTAATGAAGCCTGCCCTGAAGTTCACTATTGCTGGTCAAGTGATCTTGGCTGCCTCAGTTTCCCCAAATCTGTAAATGGGGATAGTAATAACATGAGCTCATTGAGGTATCATAAGGATTTAGTTCACTAGAATTTCAAAGTGTTTACAACACTACCTGAGACACAATACACACTATTTGAGATCTTGATAAAATAAGTTACTGTGGCACTGGAGCGATGGCTCAATGGTTAGGAGCACTGGCTGCTCTTCCAGAAGTCCCAAGTTTGGTTCCCAGTACCCATATCAGATGGCTCACAACTGCCTGTAACTCCAGCTCCAGCAGATGCAGTGCCTTTTTCTGGCTTCCTCAGGCACATACACACATACCTCACACATATATACACATATACACAAATAAGTGGAATTAATATAGATTCATAGATATCTATTCCCTATAAATATGTGTATGAAAGGAAGTAAGTCATTAGCTACTTTCAAAGTCACATCACCAATATTTTTAAGAGCCTCAGAACAAATCTAGCTCAGTCCTTGTGTTTATAAATACAGTTTTATTATTTATTCATATGGAATCTGTTTGTGAGCCAATTTTTATGAGGCAACTGCAGAGATGCAAAGTTGTGACAGAAACTATCTTACAAAATAACCTCACGGAACACATTGGTTTAGATAGTTTTGTACTGTATCAGACTCCCAGACTGCTTCTGTGAACCTTGACCTTCTGAGTCCCTCAAACTGACCAGAGCCAGGTGTTCTGAGCGCTCACCCGCACAGCAGCAAACAGGTTTGCCAGTCAGTTGTGCAATGGAATTGGGATTGGCTCTGCCAGGCCTTGTTTTGGATCCTGAAGCAGTCCCCACACTTAACATCCTTCCTCTGCTCTTCCAGTGGAATTTTCCTAGTGCCATGATCACCCGGAAAGTGGGGGCCGCTCTGGCAGCTGGCTGCACTGTGGTGGTGAAACCTGCGGAAGACACACCCTACTCTGCCCTGGCCTTGGCACAGGTGAGTCTCAGTGAAGAACCAACCGGTGCCCGTGTGGATGCTTCTCAGGGACAGGAAGAAGCGTTTTTGCAATGTCCTCTGCCTGTGTCTCCTGCTGTGTGCAGAGCATCTGTCTCAGTCCATTGGCAGCTAATTTCTAATTTCTGTGGAAAAACTTGGTTCCCTGGTGTTCTCATAAACAATGTCCTGATATTTGGGTTTGCTGCCTCATTGCTGGCTTGGTTTTATTTTTGTTTGTTGGTTTGTTTAAAATTTTTTGATTAACATACAAAGATATTGGCTTCATGGCTATTGTTTTTATGAGACTAGTGAGATTAAAAACCTTGCAAACTGCTCCAGTAATCTCAGAGCTAGAGAGGCTGAGACAGGAGTTTGAGGCCAATGAAGGCTACAAATGGAGACTCTGGGTCAGAAGTATAACAAATTCAGGACAAACCTGATCCAGAGTCCTGCCATGGACAGGCCCAGGTTCCCAGGTCAGGTGGCTGGGGTTGGGGGTCACTCCATCCCACTGCCACCCCACCCTCACTGCTGCTGAGTTCCTCCTGTCTAGCTTTCCTTTCTTCAACTCTGCCCCACAAGGAGCTAGTGAGCAGCTTTGCCCCGATCAGCTCTGGTGAGTCATTTGTAAACACCCTTTCCACACTTTACCAGGTCTATAGGGTAAACTGTCAGTCAGTCTACAGTCAGCCAAAAAGTTCCTTGAGATTAGTCTCAGAATCATGAAAAACCAGGGCTGCTGGTGGACTGAACAGGAGGTGGATCTGTATTTAGCGATACTTCATGGGAGACATTTAGTTTATATATGTGTATTTATTTAGGGGGTTGGGAGTGTAGCTTAGTATAGAGTTGTTTTTAGTAGAATGAGACTGTGGGTTTATTCCTTAGCAGGTGTGTGTGTGTGTGTGTGTGTGTGTGTGTGTGTGTGTGTGTGTGTGTACAGTCATACATATAATACATGTATATATGGAACTGAAATAAGGTTTTTATTGGTTCTGATATTAATGTAAATATATATATTAATTTTCACATTTATTTGTGTGTGTGTGTGTGTGTGTGTGTGTGTGTGTGTGTGTGTGTGTGTGTGCATGCATGTGTGTAGGTCTTTACCCAAACCAGAAAGGGCATTGGATACCCTGGAGCTGGAAAGTGGTAAGCTATGGGTGATGGGAACTAAACTCAGGTTCTCTGAAAGAACTGTACATGCTTATAACTACCAAGCTACTATCCAGCCCATAATATGTATTTTGGGGGGCATAGGTTCTCCTATAGCCCAGGCTGGCCTTGAACTCACTATGTAAGGCAGAATGACCTTGAGCTAGTGATCCTCCTACCTCTACCTCCCAAAGTTTGGGGTTGTAGACATGCATCACCACGTCTGGTTCTTGTCAGTATGTTTTTATTCTGTTCCAAGGCAAGATTATATTTTACATTGTCTTCTGGGCTAAACATGTTTATTTCTGATTGTTTGTTTTGTTTTCCAGTTCAGTCCTTGTTAGAGTGTGTTTGCTATTTCTCTTTAAAGCTTGCAAACCAGGCGGGAATCCCCCCAGGGGTCTATAATGTCATTCCCTGCTCTAGAACCAAAGCCAAGGAAGTGGGAGAGGCACTATGTACTGATCCACTGGTGTCCAAAATTTCCTTTACTGGTTCAACGGCAACAGGAAAGGTATGTGACATCAGACAAGTGTTGTTCTAATGCTATTTTATGTTTTCGTTTTGTTTTATTAGAAACGGGGTCTACATCTTGGTTGTCCAGGAACTTGCTATGTAGACCAGACTGACCTGCATAGTGGGGCAGAGACAAACTTGTCTCTGCCTCCCAAGTGCTGGGACTAAATGAATGTACCACCACACATGGCCTGTCATATAAGTTTTAAATTGGTTCAAAACTCAAGATAGTGTTGGCATTGTTTACCTTTGGCATTGTTCCCTCTCCCAATGTCACTGACTCCTTCCTCACCTCCTGTAAATATTTGCTTTTAGTTTCCTACTACCTTCATAATAAAAATCAAATCTAATGAAATAAGAATCTGTAATCTCTAGAATACATTGTATGATGTATGGAATTCTCAAAGTATGTATATATTATAAATTATAAAATAATATATTCTCATGTCTCACTTTTCTTATATATCTAAAGTAATGTGACCTTGTGTACACATTAATTTTTTTCATTATTGGGTAATTTTATAAAACAAATTTCCAATTTTAAAATTTTTTAAAACAATTTGTTTTTTTTAAAAAAAAAGGGTTTAGCAGACTTGTATGCTAGTTTTCTGTTGTTACAAAATTCATGAGAAAAAAATGACTTAAAGGGGATGATTTGAGGGATGTTTTGGTTCCTGGTTTAGACTTCAGCCCATGGTCAGTTGGCTCCATTGCTCTTAGCCCTATAACGGGGCAGAAGCATCATGGCAGGAGGCACTGATGGAGAAGAGCTGCTCACCTTATGGTGGCCGGGAAGCAAAGAGAAAAGAAAGGTCCAGGACCAGACACATCCTCCAAACCCATTTCCCTGTGACCTGCTTCTTGAGCTAGGCCCCATCCCTATGAATAGCCCACTCAGCTATGAGCTCCTGATCAGGTCACCTCTCAGTCAGGTCACCAGCTGGTGGCCAGGCTTTGGGCACCCAAGACATCAGGGAGGAAGGTACTGTAACACCTGTAAGTTGATGTGGATGCTCACAGTATTCTCCTCCTGCTGCACCCCTGCAGGTCCTGCTGCACCATGCAGCAAATTCTGTGAAGCGAGTCTCCATGGAGCTGGGTGGCCTTGCTCCATTCATTGTCTTTGACAGTGCCAATGTGGACCAGGCTGTCGCAGGAGCAATGGCATCCAAGTTTAGGAATGCTGGGCAGGTGAGTCATGCAGAATGTTTTAGGATTGGGATGAGGGTAAGTGTGTGTGTTTTACAAAGTAAGTGTGTGTGTTTTACAAAGACCCTAGCACCACCATGGCCTGGCCTCTCCATGGTTCCTTTGTTGATTCATGTACTCATCTGTGAGTAAGTATTTAATGAGTAGTTTCTCTCAGGCACTAGTGAGGCTTGGATAGTCCAAAGAGAAGTAAGAGATAGTCTTTTGCTTCAGAGTTTTGAGAATTGCACACCTTTATTTATGTATATGTGTGTAGTATGTGTGTATGAATACCCACATGTGTAG